CCCTGCAACACCTCGGGGGCCGCATAAGCCGCTGACCCACAGAAGGTCTTGCTTAATGTCAGTCGGCCACTATCATCCCGCAGGCAGCGCTTGGAGAAGCCGAAATCAGACAGCTTGATGTTGAAGTCCTTGTCGAGCAGAAGGTTCTCGCACTTGAGGTCTCGGTGAACAACATCCAGATCGTGGCAGTACTTGATGGCCGAGGAGAGCTGATGGAACTTCTTTCGAGCATCATCCTCTTGCAGGGCTCCTCTGGTTTTGATGAATTCAAGGAGGTCACCCTGGACTCCAAGCTCCATGATAATGTAGACCTTGCCATCTGATGTCTCAAAGATCTCATAGGTCTTGACAATAGAGCGGTGGTTTAGCATGGCCAGAATCTCAATCTCCCGGGGAAGGAATTTCTCCAGGAAGTCCGTGGGGGCTTTTTTGCGATCGATGATCTTGACCGCCACGTTGAACTTTAGGCGCTCAGAGTAAGCGGATTTGACTTTGGCATATGAGCCCTCTCCCAAGTTTATCCCCATGATGTAGCCTCGTCGCTTGAGGACGGCAGCGTCATCCATGGTTCCGGGAGTGCCCAGTGCCTCTGAGGCTGCCCTCTACATCCCTGCCAGACATGGGCCAGCAGCGTCCTCATTTACACTGTGGACAGAGAGTCCTCTGAGCTGGCCAGGCCTGCTGTCCCTGCCTCCTAAGAGGCCAAGACTCTAGCATGGAATATTCAGCACTGTCTCCGGGGTGACTTCAGTGGGTGAAGTCACAAAGGAGTACTGCCCTGGGGGAAATGAGGCTATTACCTGAGCCACTTGAACTTGGAACCTGAAAGCTCTGCCAGTGTGCGGGAGCAGACTCAAAGTGAACAAAATGGCTTCATGCTTGACTCCAGCTGGAGGTAAGAGAGGGTTATGGGACACAAAGTTCTGCCCATGTTTCTAAACCTAAAAACCGAACTATGTAGAAGCGTGGCTCATTATTGCAAACCAGGTCAATCCAAGGGGTCTAGGGTGGGTGGTACTGTCTGTCAAGGACCCCAACAGGAAACAGGAGATAGTCTCAATTAAGGATAATCAGAAGAAGTCTAGGTAAGGGGGTGTTTCACAAAGGTGGGAGCAAAATGTAGGGAACCCCATAGGTAACACAGTTCCCTGGGGTCGGGGAAGGAAATGGAGAGGGCCACTCTTCCACAGGCCAGTGATAAGGAAACCATTTGTGACCTGCACCCCTTCAGCTCTTGATGCTGTCTGCATAGACAACCCTCAAAGGCACATAGCAGGGCCGAGAAGGGTGAGGGTTCTTCTAAAACACCTTTCTTCAGATCCTTGACCTCCTCTGGCCCAGTGTTTGTCACCGTTTGGGGGTAACACAGTGTTTTCATTGTGGGCTCAGTTGACTTTACGCTTGTACTGCTCTTCTCATCCAAACCTTTCCTAGTCTCACAGAGGCACCACAGGTGGGCAGCTGGCAGGAATTGGCTGTGAGTTCCCTCCTAAGGCCCTGCCCAACCCATGGTTCTGGCTGGGCTCCAGGGCAGATTTGGAGGGGGCTTGGTATGGGAGCAGAAGACTGGGCCTGGTTCTTGTACTGAGTGCTGGGAATGTGCCACCAGGCCCGTCCACGTGCCAAGGGCAGTGCTGGATAGGTATCTTTGCCTCTGCCAGCAAGGGGCCCTCCCTCTGTTGTGACAAGATTTGAGTCCAACATCTGCCCTGGGGACAAGACCTATGGAAGTTGGAATATCTGATGGTCTGGCCTAATCTTGGGTTTGAATTTGGCTTTATCTACCTATTAGGAATTAGCATCCCTCATTCACATGGCTCCAGTTACCACAGGACAGAATCCCAGGACTTGGTGGAGGCACTGAAGTGAGTTAGGTATGCTGGAAGTGGCTGGCTTTCCCCCTTTTCACTTCCTTCCCCAGAGCTGATCATCCACTGCCAGCCCTGTACATAGGTGGTGGTCCTCCCCCACCCCAATAGATCGCTGCTCCATCTGCTGTCTCTTCTTCCACGTTCATGCTGTTCATGAGGGTAGTTGTGAGGTCAGTACTTGAAACCTTGTTTCCAGATTTTAGCCTCATTTCTGCTTGGACTTTTCTCTTTCTTTGTATAGGCAGGACCTTCCCAAGATTTGATCCGGAGAATTTGGGCTTCTCTGTTATTCTCTCTGACATCCCTTAGGCCATTTCCTCCTCTGTTGAAATTGTTTTGTGTTCCTTCCCTATTCTCAGAGTCTGCCAACTCTCTAGGTTTCTTCACTTTCTTCATGGAGGTTCGGCCTTTAGAAGACCGCTTTAGGGTGTATGTTGGGCACTGGGGCAGACCTGGGCCTCCAGGAATAAAGATCATTCATGCCCTGTGCTGCCTCCTCAATTCTCTAATCGCAGGTCCCCACTCCTACCTCCTCCAGACCCGGGGCCTACACTGTTAGTCTTTGTGATCCCCACAAGTACCGGGGACCCCTTTGGTCACCTAGCCGCCAAGGCTCAGTCCCCGAGCCCCGTTTCTTGGCTCAGCCAATGGCACGCCTCATTTCCTATAAGCCCGCCCCAGACCCCGCCCACTATCGCCCAGGCCCTCGGCCTGGCCTCTTTCCGGTCCTCCTGCTCACGCCCCGCCCTCGTCTGGAGCGCGCCCATCTTGCCCTCCCTCCGCCTCCCCGCGCCCGGCTCGGCGTTCATTGGTTAGTGTGGGCTGGAGGCGGGGTCGCGCGGGCCCGAGCAGGACGGCCGCCATCTTGCGCGAGCCGGAGTCCCGTCCCGCTTTTGCGGCCTAGAGTGCGCGCGGGTCGGCGGCGTTCCCTTACAGCCGCCCAGTGTCGCCGCGGCCCAGCTGGATCCCTCGCCCGCCACCTCTCTGCCCCCGGCCGGAGTCCGGCCCTCACGCCCTCATCTGGGCCAGGTCCGGCCTCCCCGCGGGGTCACGCGGCTGCCCCGGGGACGATGAACGGAGGATAAATGGTGCCCAAGGCAGACAGCGGTGCTTTCCTGCTGCTCTTCCTGCTGGTTCTCACTGTCACCGAGCCGCTGCGGCCAGGTGCGCGGCGCTGGGGGGGGGGGCGCGGGCGGGGGTGGGGCCGGGGACGTCCTTCCACCCGCCGCAGCTGGGCGTCCACTGCGCCTCGGCAAGGCACAGGCGAGGCCTGGCTGCGGGCCTCTCGTCCCCTGCCCCGGCACAAGTTGGAGTGTACCTGGGTTCGGAGCCTCGAGGATGTCGCCTTTGGACCCCCGTCTGTAGAGTGTCGCGTGCTCTGGGAGCCACTGGCCAGGAGCTTCTGCTGGGCTCAGTGGAAGTCTAGGGGCTGAGAGCAGATTGTGGAGGCACCTGGTGTCCCAACTGTCCGCCCAACTGTGGCTTTGTGCCAATGTTTCAGCTCTGGACAGCGATGCCTGGTGGCTTATTGCTTCTTAATGAAACGCTGCATCACAGAAGTCTAGCCCGGCCCAGAGGAGGTACTGGGAGTAAACCAAACCCCGTGTGCAGGGGATAGAGTCCTCTTAGCGGTTCCCCGCACTTAGTACTTTGTGTGTGATATGATTAAATACTTTTGGTACTCCCTTGGAGTTTTGCGTGGGTGGGGGACCTCAGATCCCCTTTTCTACCTATTTCAGACACTCCTGAACTGCACCAAGAAAACCTAACTGCTCCCCCCCACTCTCCAAAACAGGGTTGATTTAGCCATCAGGTACAAGAGTTCCCATTACAGTCTCACTGTCTCTTTAGGGATCTGCCAAAAAGTTTTAGAACTAACAGGGTGTCTGAACTTTCGATGAAAGGGATGCTTTAATATATATATTAAATATGTGTGTGTGTGTGTGTGTGTGTCCTGTGTTGGCAGACTTACCTCTGTGCCAGTGCAGTGGCAAGTATTGTGCTTCGTGTTTTCAGTGGGGGAATGGTTCCCATGAAGGAATGCCCAAGGCAGGTCTTCTGTGGGTGACATCATGACTGGGTGTCAGCAGATGGGTGCACCCACAGCCGTGTCCCAGCCTAGCTCCCGTCTTGTAACATATTGCAGTGCTTGGCTTTGTGCGTTTGTCACATGGAAATGTCTGCCTAAGCCCCAATGACCTAGACCCTAGGCTGACACTCAGCTGAGGAGTGCCTCCCGGGGCTCCAGGAGAGGAACTCAGTGCAACCAGCCGCTCTACATAGTGAACTGACTGTGAAGCAGCCTGCTGGCTATGGTTCTTTTGGCGGGCTAATGGGTCTGTGGTTCTTGTGATTGAAGTCTTGGTAAACATGTATATGCCTGTATAGTGGATTGCCATCCCTTTCTGTTTCCTGGGTCCCAGTTTTGCAGACGAGGTTTCTAGACCTTGAAATAGAGCCATGCCTGCCTGCCTTATGCCTCTTGTTCCAGGGCCAACATCTGTCTAGATCACAGAGGCGGCCGATGTCCCAAACCGTTTTTCCCCCTGGCCAGTTTGTACACATATCCTGCCAGCTGGCTGAGAGCAGTTCGGAAAGGATATGTGAGTTCGTGCTGCCTGCCATCACTATAATCAAGTGCAGAGAACAGCCCTCTCTTTAGAAGTATTGGAGAAGAGAGCAAATAGAAGTTCTTCAGTATAGTCCTGTGTGTTGAGTATCCCTGAGCATGGAGCCCGGAGGCTGATGACAGAGGGCATCCATCCATTTGTACATGTGCAGCAAGGGAGGGTCTCCCCAGAACCCTCTTACAAACTGAATGGAACATGTAGTGGAAGAGGCTCCAGTAGAGGGAGTAATTCGAGTACTCTCGAATCTATGGCTTTCTAGGCTGGAACTTGGCAGTAGACCCCGGAGCTGTCCTAAGTGGTCTAGTACATAAGCACTCTAATGTACCTCCTGACATGGTCAGCAAAGACGGGTTACTGGGCCAGTTTTTTCTTGTGTGCTATTGTGTCTGTTTGCATGTTTCTCCTGTCTGTCCTGGGAGTGCTGGGCAGAGTCTTTTTTGCTGTGTTTTCAAGAGGAAGGTACGTCTCTGGTCTAGATTTGCTTGCTTCCTGTCAAGGTCCTTGGTCTGATCCATACATGGGTGAGGAGAATACAAGTTAGTTCTCTTAGGAAGGAGGCAGAGGGTTGTCCTCTTGCTTCTGCCCAGTGTTACTTGTGAGAAAGAGCCGGGGCATTGTGGGTTTCTTTTGGTGCAGGCTAGGCCTTTCAGAGATAGATGGGGAGGAGGCAGTGTGTGGAGCAGGGCTTGATTTGTCCAAACTTCTTTTTCTATTTTGTTTTTATACTGCTGGGTAATGAAATCCAGGGCTTTGTGTGTGCTAGGCAAGCACTCCACCACTGAGCTATACCTCCAGCTCTCATATTCTTTAAAATGATCTTGGTTGTTTGAAGATGTTACATGTCAGATACTGTTCTAAGCATTAATGTTTGTGTTAACTTTCAGTAGTCTCTGGAACTCTTACTAGCCCAATTTTATAGACAGAGAAACTACAATAGAGAATGTTCTCATAAAGGCTAAGTGATTTTAGTCTTATGGGCCTGACTGATTTGGTCACTATACACCTTTGTTTGGATCCTTGTCCATCTGGCTGTTTATGTCTAGTTTGGGCCTCAGAAACACCTCA